AGATTGACCCTTAAGATAAAAGAAAAGGAAGAAACAGAATATTTTTTTAACTTGGGATTTATTCTACCAATGGCTAACTAAGAGAAAGAGAGGTTAGAAACTAAACGGAATTTTAAAAGATTAGAATTTGTATCAAAAATTTTGCAAGATGGATAAACTGATCATATTATTATGCTGTGGTTAATATGGATATATTTATTAAGATTACTAGTATGATTTTGGTTACTGTTGTATCTTTATTTAAAATTAACTGTGCCCAGACAACACGCTGTTCAGACAGACATGGAATTTTTTATGTTTTTAAAAGGAAAATGTACCAATAAAACATATCCCGCCCTTCCACAAAAAAAGTTTGCACCTTTTAATGAATAATGTTAATGTAAAGAAGGCTTTACCAAACACTTTCTAATTTTAAACTCAAGGGAGACTTTATGTTTGCCAGATAAGTGTGAGGGGGAAAAAAGGAATGTATTTTCTTGCACTCTTTACTGACTCATCCCTATTCCAGGTGACTCAGATGATCAAATAAATTAAACTACTAATTATCTAGCAGGGTCATGACCCTAACCATTCCAAGCCCTGCGCTGTTGTGCATGTGATGGAATCAGTAGCGGCTTCCTGCAGAGCACCTGATTGTGTAAAACAAGGACTTTGTCTGCTCCACCTTGTTAAATTTTAACAGAAAGTTTGGCTGCAGAAATTCAAGGCTGGCTCTGTTAGTCCATGCCCTTAAAAGAAATCAATCAGCAAGCATTCAGACTGCCTTGAGCCATTCCGATGATTTGAATCTGGTAGGAGAGTCACTTTGAGCCAGCACAATAATGAAGTACTAAATGACAGACTTGAACATTGGGCGCTATCTAACAAAATGAAATTCAGTGGTGAAAAAAATAAGGTTCTACATTTAGGCAAGAAAAAGCAAATGCACAGGTATAGTATAGGTGGTACCTTGCTCGATAGTACTAACTGTGAGAGGGATCTCGGAGTCCTAGTGGACAGCCATTTAAATAAGTTCTAAATTACTCAGAAATTACTCCTTCAAAAAGCAGACTTAAAAGTAACAATCTGCAACTGTTTTATAAAATATAAGTGAAGAGGAGGGGAATTGACTATGGAAAGCTAATAATTGTTCCCACAGAGGTATGATATTTAATTGAAAAGTAACGTGAAAAATCTTAAGACTTTAATGAATTTTAATATTAACGATAGAATTGAATTGGAATGGAATGTTGTTTTAATTATATACATTTATAATTTTTTCTTTGTTATAAGAATATTGTGTGTAGTTTAAGAATGTACCAAACAGAATCCGAATGGAAGCTATGTATTATATTGAGTGTTATAACTTTAGGGGAAAGATATAAAGGCGTCATACTCCAATCAGTAACTACAGGAGAAATTTTGTTTAATGAGAAAAGATAATAGACAATTGAAACAGGACAGACAAAAATATAAATATGATTTGAATTGAGAGGAAATAAATATAGTAAAATCGAGGAAATTAAAAGAGGGGAGAAGCTATGTAGAAAATGTAAAATTGTAATAAGATATGGAATAGAATATAAAAATGAGCATGAACCTAAAATTGTGTCTGCACGAAGAAATGTAACCTGGGATTATGCTGCTTTCAAAAAAGATGTTTTAATTGTGTTTCTTTTCTTTTTGTGAAAACTCAAATAAAATTTGCAAAAAAAATAAAAGAGCGGACATAAAAGTAATAATCTGCAATTCATTACCAATAATTTGATTCAGCACCAATTCAGTCACTGCTTAGCTTACTGAATGCATTGCTTTTTGGATTCAAATGTTTGATTAGTCTATCAAAATATAAAATACAGAAGTACAAATAAAATGAAAATAAGGGGAAAATAAGGAAAAAGGTAAGAAAAAGAGTGTAGGATAAAGGGTGGGAAAGATCATTGACTTCCGATTCCATTTGAGGCAGCAGAATAAGGTAAAACTTCAACTTTATACTTTTATATAATATATATTAACCATTTCTATAACAAACCTAATCAGCAAAACCCAATTGAATGCATTGCTGGTGATTGAAGCAAAAGATATTTATTCAATCTGTTTGCCTCCATCTTACCATGAGACAAGGCTTAATGTTAAGCAGTTCCACATTTCTTTTCAGCCAAGTTTCAATGTAAAGTGGATCCACTGATTTCGTCCCTAAAAATTATCAGTTTATAAGTTTGGACAGCTAATGATCAATACTGAAATTTTCCCTATCGAGCCAGATTACCAAAAATAACGGATAAACATTGTAATGATCTGGAAAGCAATATGTCCAAGTACAAACTGAAGGCATCCAAAATTTAAAAAGTCTGACTTCAGTAGCATCTTTTAAGATTAACAACACACCGTTAATCTAAGGCACAAACTTTCCGAAGGTGCCACTCACTGCATCAGACACGTGGCCTTAATTGATTTAGGATTTAAATATACAAGGATGAGGCAAGGAAAGGAAAATGCAGGTTTGAAAGTTCCACAGAGAATATTGTAAGTAGCGGTTTATAATTTTATACCAATGCACTCAAAAGCAGCAATTCTAATGGGACTTCATTGCAAAACAGGACTGAATGGCAATTATTTTTGGTGTAATCCAGAGGTGGCGGCCTACTATTCACGGGATAAGTGTATACAAGATTGCAGCTTTAAGATAAAACCTGGCAAGCAAGTAAAGGAGAAATCCGTGTACTGTTCATGTCAGCAGATATTGGTCTGTACTGAGCAGTGCACTGTTGCTAGCTGTTGCATCATACAGGAGAGGAAGGGGAGGTCCCAGCAGCCAGGTCTAGGATAAAGAGAAGCTTCAAGGGCGGATCTAGAAACAGGGGCTTTCCATCTTGGACTTTCCAAAATCCCAGGCAGCAAATCTCCTGTTCGTTGTCGTCCCCCCCCCCCCCACACACACACAATACAGTTTGCATTGCTTGCCGGTAGACCGTGAGGGTTGCTCACATGGCCTCTAACTTATACTTAACTCCAACACTACAAATCAGTTCACAGGGGGTTTCTCCAGTCGGAAGCGGGTGGGGGAAAGGGTGAGGGGAGCAAATTTTCTTCTGGATTTGGGTGTCCAGAAAAAAACCCCAAAGCCGCCCCGCGGGCGTCTCTCCTTTCAATTAGTGGATGTGTTTGCAAACAATGAAAGTGCCACAGGGAGATTTTTATGCAGGACCGAATTGCACCCTTGAGGCCAGCTTGAGTTAAACTTGAAGCAACTGTTAACACTATCAGACCCAACAGGTTCCTGCGAGCTTCTTGCAGCGCCTGGATACACCCGCTTTGTCTCCTGCCTCTTCAAGCATCCTCGATTAGGCCTCAGTTGGCTGGATCTTATCAACCCAGACTTCTTTCTCTAAAAACATCGCAGGGGTAGGTCCCTCTATGGAGATCCTCAATCATCCGGTTCATGGTTGTCCCAAAGGTGCTTTTTTTCTTTTTCTTTCCAAAAGGCAACTGGACTTTCTTGGTGGGTTTTTTAAAAAACAACTTTTTACCTTTGGTTCAAGAAGGTTCTTCGGGTCTGAAAGTCTTTCTTATCATTCTTGTTTTTATTGTTGTTATTTTTATTATTTTTATTTTTATTATGTGCCTTGGGTACAGTCCCAAAACATTCTTGTTTTTATTGTTGTTATTTTTATTATTTTTATTTTTATTTTTATTATGTGCCTTGGGTACAGTCCCAAAACTGGAGCACCCCTTGAACACCATAGGCATTGACAAATTTGCCATCGGTCAATTGCAGAAGGCAGCTTTACTTGGAGCAGCTTCCATTCCTGCGGGAACACCAATAACACCATCAAATATCCAGATTTGCCTTTTCCAGATCCTTGGTAAGGACTAGATAGATAGACAAAAATGCCAAACCCAGCCTGAACATCTGGCTGACTGTGCGATGAATAATAATAACAACAATAATGTTGGATGCTGGCAGCAACCAACAGTGCCAGTTAAATAAATAAATAAATATAAATATAAATATAATAATAATAATAATAATAATAATAATAATAATAATAATAATAAT